TGAAATAGTCGGACTTTCAATATTAGGGACAGTTGATGTGAGGCCTTCCTGATTTTCACAATTAAAATTCATTATACCACCTCTTATACCTGATCCTGACATAGGTCTTGTAGAGGTACCCACGAACTGTGATGGAATGGTACTGGGCATACTATCTGGTACCTAAATGTAATCGTACTGTGGATGTTGAGATAGCACAGCCATCAAATTAACAGGCTGCTTAAAACTACATGAACTCGCACCCTGCGACTCCCCAGGACGCCTTTTCTTTCCGGCTGGGCCACCATTACTTGTACCAGTTTTCTTTCTTTTTGGAATACTAGATCTAGCAGCGGAAATTACTGGTATGGAAATAGTATTTGGAACAACAATGTCACTGTTTACACTAGTATTAAGATGAATCTCTCGATATGAAGCCGGTGGGCGAACTAATACTGGTATTCGTGATCTAGTAGCATTGATTCTAGTAGGTGCATTATTCAAATTATTTGCAGCCGATACCACTTCTATTTCATCACTACCAGGGGCACTGCTGCCATGACTAGTCGTAGCGTACGGGCAGGTGCTTATTCTTGTTGATTTCCGGACATCCATGAAAAAGAAAGACCAATGACAAATTCGTTACGAAAAAAACTTAAAAAATTTACCGGTAATTGAATTCCCAATGGAAACCATAAACTAAAATATTATTTTAACTTTTGGAAGTATTGCTGCCATATTGTTCCTTCCATTTATATAATACGTCAATGTAAAGGAGAAATCTCGCGCCAACTTCAACCTGCAAGCAATACGGATGCTGACAGACCGGCTACTTCCAAACTTTCCTGTTTAGAACTTATGACAGAACGTCAGAAGCTCTCCCCAGACACGGACTATTTGATGTATTTCACATGACATCAAATGCGAGCCTTGTTTAAAAACATTTAAATCCCAAATTTTTAAATCTAAAACAACTTAATCATATTTTCAAAACGAAATAAAGACAAGAGCAAATACATGTGACTTTACCATTGCATGAATATTTGCAGAAAGAAAGAAGCAACAAAGGGGAATAACTCACCGTTCAATAACGTCTTATATTCCCAAAAAGGAATAGAAATAATTAGAATTACATATGCTTCTTTGTGGACTGTTTACTGGAATCGTTTTAGGTTAAATTTTGATTGAAGATCGCTGCACTGTTATAGCAGAGATACACGTTCGCCGTTCGTAGAATTCCGTTAATACTGTTTAAACGTACATTATACAAGAGCTAAATCTGCCCACTGCAGGTCTTTCTTTAGGCCTGAAATGTTATCTCAATTATTAATTAGACATTAATTAATTTTATCCAGATTTTAATCAACTCTCGATGCCATCGCCAGGCTGCGATATTTGTTTTTTATCGTACCGACTTTAGTAATAATGATCCCACTGTTCTGCTCCTGTACGGGGCTGGTGAAGACGGGCATACGCCATATGGCCTACTCTTATATCGAATTCCAACTGCCAAAGGATCTTACACAATTCATATGCACTCCAGTGTATACACGGGACCTCGTTTTTTCTTAACCATCCTAACGACTAGACAGCTATACTTGCCAGGCCCTCCGTCCTGTACCGCTGACAAGGGGAAACCACCTCGGAAAATCCCGATAAACTTTCTCGGTCAATGCAGGGATCGAGCACGCGACCTCCAGGCTAGCGCGTCAGCGTCTTACCGACTTACCCACCGTGGCTCCGAAAGCTAATATTTCGGTTCAGAGTAAAGCAATTTGACTGAAATGTTCAGCATATTCTATTTACGTTATCTATTTTTGGACTATTATAGCGAGGACTGCCAAATCTCCCATGATGCCCCGTTAAATGAATTATGGCCAATTGATACTATTCATCAACTATTTGAATAACGTATTAATTTCAGTGATTTGAATCACACTTAAAAGCGTTCAAATACCACTGAACGCGGATCAGAGATAATTTCTAAAATATAATTTCGCTACATTGTCCTCCAAACTAAACAAACTATAATTCTTTGGAAAGCTTATAGCACCAGGAACACAAATCCAAGAATCCCCCCTAAAAATATGTTTGTAATAACTGGATATTGCGTCTGATGAAAAACGTCACAATCGTCAAGTAAATGCTATCTTTAAACTAACAACCTGAAGTTGGTATAAAATTAAATATTGGCGAAAACATAAAGGACTAGGGAACATGCGGAATTTTGGAAATTCATTAACGGTACACGGTGAAAAGTTGATATCAGTATATAGTTTAAACAATTTATTCGATAAACTGAATAGGATATAACAACAGACAAGTTCCTATACAAGTTCTCCCCCCAAAAATATGTCTTACTATAATATATGTAAACCTTTATTTCAGATAGGATTTAAGGCTAAAGTTTTAACAAATATTTAAACTGAAACAAAGCAGCTATAGGTATTTAGTTTTCTCACTAAAATAGATATATGGCCAAACTAAATAATAATACTTTAATGGGAGTGAAAATATTGAAACTAAGGGAACAGAAAGCACTATTCTACACCAACCCGTGTAATGAAGATGAGCATACGCCATGCATTTTAATTTGGAGGGGGTTGGGAGTTTGCAGTACATGTACAGCTAGTATTCCTGCTTTCCATACAAGCATCATCCGTACAAGGGAGCCGCGTTGTCTCAGTAAGGGGCTGGCTCACTTACTAGGAGTGCAGCACATTGATCAGAAAGTGAATTTTCGCAAGGCCGCTACAATCATTGATAAGGATGACATCGATGCGACTTAATGAGCCAGAAATATTAACTTTTTTCCTGCGACAAATTAAATTCTAAAACATTTTTTTTTATGTATTGGAAAAATAAATAAAGGCGTTTGACTTATTTGTAGGTAAAAATTATTTCCTATTTAGTGTAAATGGGTATTAAAATGACTAAAAGGCAGCATTCTGCCCGAAGCAGTAATGTCTTATGTAAACAATGCACGCGCCATTTTGCCAATGATTGACTCCGCGTGCAGTCATCTTTGACGGAGATATTACTACTAGACTCGTAATTCTCTGTGAAACAGATTGGGAGTGCAGGACGTAGGGTTTAGTGAATAAAGCGTTGCCTCACTAATCAGGAGGTCCGGTGTTTGATCCCCATGTTGGCTTTGACAGTTCCTCCGATTTTACAAGGGTTGTTTCCCCTTGTCAGTAGTTCAGGACAGGAGTATGGGCTGTCTTCGGCAGCGTCTAATTATTGGGATGGAATATCAAACTGAGGTCCCATATACAAGTTTGTGTACACGTAAAAGAACTGCTGACCAAACATGTACATATATGTGAAAATAAAACAAAAACACTGTTAAAGAGACCAAAATTATACTTGCAGCGATGATAGTGATGGCTAACTTTGATGACATTTAAAGTGAAGAGAAACTGCGTAATTTTAGATTTTCAATAAATGTTTTACTTTAATAAGTAATTGTACAACTGTAATTCTAATTATTCACTTCATACCAGCAGAGTTACAGCAAATCAGGTTAACAGCCATATGCAGTAAAATACTGTAGGGTCTAATTAAATGGTATGCGGGTTTATGTTTAATTGGAAGAGATCACGTGGTTTCAATACGATTGACAATACTTCTGGCAGATTCTGGTCTACATTATTTCATAACCTTGTTGCTCAATCAATGTCAAACATGTTCCACCAAACCCTTAATTGCTGGGTGAACAAATGCCCACCAACCCTCGCAAATACATTAACGATGCAAATACTGGGCTTGTGTGCTCACAGAGGGTCTTGTGCGTCATGCAACGTCAACAGACATGTGACAGAAAGGGAGATAGCTGATATGTGTTTTACGGTTAGTGAATTTCCAAAATTCCATATTCCGACATGGCATTTATGTTTTGGACATTTTTGTTTAAATCAAAACTTAACAAATACACTATAATTTGCCAAGGATGAAGACATCGCCAATATTTAATTTTATACCAACTTTAGAATTATTAGTATAACGATAGCGTTTACTTGACAATTGTGACGATTTTCATCGGGTCCGAAATGTAGTTATTACAAACATTTTTCTTGGAACTCTCAAATATAAGTTCCCAGTGTTATAAGCTTTCCACAAATGTATAGTGTGTTTTGCTACGAGGCGCATGTAGTGAAATTGTGTTTCTAAGCAAACTAGAAATTTTGGCTGCAGGCCTATAATATTTGACAGCATGGTCGAGTCCAATTCTTTTCAGAAATTAATGCCTGGCCTATAGGTGGAAACTTGTCAATATTAGGTGTTCTGAAACTCTGGATACTCGTAGTGCAAAAATGATACCCTAAGAAATGGTATGCTTAATTGTTCGGATGGGACAGAAACAGGGACTGGAGTACTGTGTACAATTTTTTTAAAGCTTCTTTAAATTATAATTTTATACCTTATTTATAAATAGCAATACCATTACTTGTTCCTAGGGGAAGTTTGTTCCATAGAAAACATTTTCTTTCAGAGTTCCATAGAAAGGGAGCTCTGAAAGAAAATGTGTCCCTTCACCAAAAGAAGACAAGATTCATCTGGTCTTAAAAAGCGAGTGGGATACTACAAATGTAGCCATAGTGAAGTGCACAATAGGTTAACGGTCACTCGACACAAACTTTATCGTTTCGGGACTAACATATGGTTCAATTTTATTTCAATAATTCGCTTGTGCGTATGGGTCTTTAGCAGTGAGAGGAAACCGAAGGACCCAGAGAAAACCTACGATGTTGGACAGGAGACCCTACTCCTTTTCCCGTACAACTGGGGAATCGAAACCACGCTAGTTGACTCAATGACAACCCTATTGATACAATGTGCTCGCGGTAATCATTCACCCCCCTCCTCCTGCGCCATCTTGAAAAATGAGTGTACTATACAGAGCATACAGAATAACAATATCTTTATTTCAGATAAGTACAAACATTTACATACCGTAAGGAAACTAGGTTTCTTATTTGTGGTTTCTTATTAATTTTAATATATAGAATGGTTTACAAATTCTACATTGAATAATTGCTATTTAAAACAGCTTCAACTGATGCATTATTTAAATTTGCACTCCAATATAACCCACAATACCCCAAAGGCTTTTAGACAACTTGTGTTTGAGATACCGAATCACAATCAATGAAACATTTAGTTCAGTAAGGTCTAAGTTCAAATTGACTCCTGTTAAACATCCCCTGCAGTACAACTTCTTGATTCCCGAAATGTATGGAAGTAGCCAGAGATTAGATTGTACACATATTATATGACTTGATACATCTAAATAGAGTAACATGAACTATGATTTTATCGATTAAATGAATTTACTTAATCCAGGGTTAGCAGGTACCTATAGTCTTAGAAAATTCGAGATAAAATCTACAATTTTTATGTCGAAGTTCAAATTGTTTCCGAGGGTCTTAATATATGTAACTGTATCTGAATTTGCCAGGGGGCTATTCCATAAAAAAACTTTTTTACTTTATTCTCCGGTAGATATTGACTTCAATAGAGTAAAAAAATACCCAAAAGTCTAATTCTAACCTTAACATTATGCTATTTGCATGCAGTATTAAATAACATGCTATGATTAATATCACTAATGTATACGTTCAACATTTCCATTTGTCATACTTGGGTGTTCTTCTAGATTATTTTCCAAACACCGAGTAAAGGCAGCTACCTCTTCACCATCAATAAATTTAAATATAAATTTCTTCTTCCTCGTCTCAAATACAACTGTACGGAAACCTATAACAAACAAGAAGACAAGATTTGATATTTTGAATTGGTAAGTTAGGTAACTGTGGATTTACTAATTTAAAAGTGTCCCATATCCTGCTTAATAAAGATTATATTTTAAGAAAAAAGTCATGTAATTTATTGACTATTGATATCAGATAAAGTGTTGGTATATACACCATACCTACCTTTATATACAGCAAGATAAACATTATTCACTTCTGCCAATGGCAAAGACTTGAATTTTTTGGGTTTTGATCTTCCTCTGTAACCAATTGAAGCCCATTTAATCTCTGGGCGTCCATGTGCAGATGTTATTTTGGCATACACCAAATGATCATAACCCAAAGTGGTTTCTTTTAGGAAACGAGCTGAAAAAGGGACAGTAAGTAAATATATCTTGGTCTTCACCTCTGCCTGTTAAAGTTAACTACACCTGGTAATATTCAGGTTATAGTTATCGCATTTTATTTGCTTCAGGCCGGAATCAGACGATTTGTATGAACTTAAACAAGCGTTCTAGGTCCGGTTTATCCATTCTAACAGACCACCTATCATCTTTCCTGTCCCTGGTCTGTCATTGAGTGACAGAGGTCAGGTACATATCATTAATAATCTGCAAACTAAATTATTGTTTCCGTCAAGCGATTACCGGTGGTTTGGCCGAGTTAATCAGTAAGCAGTTTTGCAAACCATTACGTGGGTGTGTCATTAATCATTGTAACCCAGATACATTGTTCGGTGATGATTAAAACAATGAAATTAAGATGTTCGATTACCCGTGGAAGCTTGTATTTGGATTAGCCTTTCAATGTAACTGAGGTATTGCTATGACCAATATAAACAGTGCATACTTCCATTTACAATCAGTTCTATTTAGGGTTTAGTTTCAGTCCGCATTTAACTGTAACTAGTCATGTATTTTATATGACAAATATTTCTCAAAGTAAAGATTATCCATTAACAGTATATAAGTATGCGAATAATGATATTTACCCCCAACTTCTTCTTCTCTATCATCTTTAATTGTGTCTGGTACAATCTCCTGTCTAGGTACAATCCCCTGTTTAGGTACAACCAGTTCTTTTAATTCGGACAATGTTTGATTACTATCAATTAACACTGCGTTCATTAACTTAACGATGTTATTCATATGGCCTTCAGCTTCGTTTTCAGTATATAACTCAGGAAGACACTCGAGTTGCAGTCTGATATAAGAATTTTTTTTATCTATCCAAACCATTAGACGAGTTTCATATGTAAATCCAAGAGTAGGATGCACATCATTATCTTGTTTACTTTTCTTCTGTAAATCATTTATGGTGGCCATATCTTCTTCAACAACACTATGTCTAGTCAGCCATTTTCCTTCTTCTTTGTTCTCTAATAATTCCCGTATAAGTACAACTGAATACAGACCGTTGGCAAGACTCTGGCTTATATTCATTGCGTTGGATTTGATAAATTCCTCGGCACTTTGGCATGGATCTTTAAACTCAGTAAAAAATGGCACCGCGGCCATCATATTTTCATAAACCGATCGGGTTTCTGGCAAATGTGTTCTCAAATCAAGAGGAGCAGACATTACAACCCTTTCGTGGCCAGTCATAAAGTGGAAATACATTTGATATATGGAGGTGAAAAATTTAAATACTGTTGTTTTCATGTGTGGCATTAATTGGAAAATATCGCTGGTCGTGTCGTTTGGTAGAACAGAAATGACAGGTCGGATGTCCCCCTTCCTCGTTTCGTTTATTGGGTACTTATTCAATGTTATATCTGGCACGCCGGCTTTGATTTTGGACTGCCAAAACTGCTTCATTTCATTCTCCATTGGTTTCATGGCTGCCTCCACATATAAAGCTGCTCGTCCCGTTTGTTCGCTGGGCGAGGGGGGAAGATCCACTCCATAGCCAAGTGCAGGTGTAATATCTCTGAGATCTTTCAGTAGTAATCCGACTGTATAGAAATCAATGCCAACGTGTTGAAAGACAAACCTGATCCTTGTATCTGGTTCACCAGCAAAGATAAATCGCATACACCCTCTTGTAGAAAGATCAAACGATTGTCTGCTAATTCTATCGAACTCGGCATCATCTTTAGAATTTTTCACATATTGAAAATCCAAAATATCTTCAGGATTTTTCTCCAGTTTTTTTACCCCGAATCTGTAATTTTCTCCAGGTTCTGCTTTGACGTAAACTGTTCTTAATGTACGATGACGTTCAAGTAGTTTCAGGGCAGCATTATACCAAATTTGATCAAATCCTTTAGAACAAAAAGAAAAAAAAGTTTTATTTGAATATGAAATTGAACAGCCTACGACTAATATACGTATTCCTGAAGCAATGGTAACGAGCTAAACTACTTTAGGATTATTACAAATATATTTTATAACATAAACATTGACTAGGACAAAGTCGTATGCGCTAGTTTAATAATAAATGTAATCAAATCCCGATTGATCAGTTTCGAAAATTAAACAATTCTGTATAGGCCTTTGTTGAAAAATTTATACAGCTCAATTCATCTCGAAATTTACAAGGAAAATTAATTACGATCAAAATATTCGTTGTTTTAATGGGGTATCAGCGTATGCCCCAGTGACAATTCCATCTAAAAATTCCAATGAACACTTTGTCCTGTATAACGCTCACACACCTGGTCTAGGAAATTCTCTACTTTAAAGGTATGTTTAAGGATGACATACGTTCTGGGTTTAGATAATTTGCTTCTTCTAACCACACACGATTTTTATGTCAGCAGAACAATTTTTTGTTTTAAATTTCCACAAAACAAAAAATATATGATCGAAAATCGACAGTGCGCCTCCCCCCCCCCCCCGTCTCCACTCAACAATCCCACAGTTTGCTCTGTATCTCGTTCAAGGTCTTTAAAATCTTAGCTCCGCTATACCCTGATCAAAAATCGAACGAAATATAAAACAAATTATAGGATTTTATGAGACAAGAAACATGGGGGTAACTTCGATCTTTTTGTCGAAAAATACTGAATTTCGATAGACTTCTTCCTTATGACTCAATTAAAATAACTAACCCAAGAAATTGTCAATAGATAACGGACAAACCCGAGAAATATGCATGCAGATGGTGACAATATACGGACACATATCTGTAATTTCGTAGATACTGAGAGTGCTTGGATTGAATAATTACCTGCCCTTTTCTTCATATGTAAATCATTGGTAATATGGTGGCCAACTGGATTGTCTCGCAAATATTTTTCATAAAAATAATATTCACTATAAGATAAGCTATTTTCTGGTAAATTGACGGTGACAGAGTTCTTTAACTTTGGTATCGGCATTGAAGACTCTGGTGTGCCAGCAACAAACCCACTAACGCTTGCTTTACTTTCTTCTCCTGGAAACCAAACTGATGTCGTTATTTGGCTGATATCGTTATTTGATTAAATTCGTTATTTGAAGGATATATAGAAAGAATAGGCGGTGGAAAAGGAACATCTTAAATCATACAATATCAATAAGATGCGGCCTAGAACATCTCCATAAATTTACTGAATTGATTAAATCTTTAGTTTTAGTTATTGGATTAAAAATAATACTCACCTTCATTTATAGGTGCAATTTTATTGGTACTATTGCCATGATGGTCACCAGCATTTCTTTTGGGAAGAACCCCCACATTCTTTCCAATATTGCTTATGATCATGTTGTAGTTAGATGTTACCAACAGGAGAATTTGGTGGAGTTGATCTAAGAGTATTTTAGCTTCACTGCTGGTATATATAGAACTTCTATATTGTAGCTGAACATCAATTGATTTAGTTGTTGAATTAGAGTTGACTATTAATAAAGTATCGTATAACAATCCAAGACTTTTAGCAGGAACAGTTTTCTTCGCTTCCTCTTGTACAACACAGTGTCTCTTTAAATTATTTCTACATTCATCAGATGAAAGCATTTTCTCGATTAAGGAGTACGGGTATATTGCGTTGTTAAAATATTTCTGTATGGTTTTGTTGTTTTCTCTTATAAAATCCGAAACTGTAGAAGAAGTGGATATCTTTGCAAACAGTGGAATGTCATTTGTTAAATTACAGATTTCATGACTGGATTGAAATAGCATAGGTCTTAGATTGTGTTTTGTGATAACATGTACAAACTCTTCTCCGGTGTTTATGTGTAAAAGGAGTTGGTAAAAGGAAACAAATAATTTCAATAATGTCGTATCAAGGCTGTGTTCAAGATTAAATATTGCCCGAGACAGTTGGTCATCAAGTTTCAGATTTGTTACCTTAGAGGTCGTATTTGTAGACGAATTAAACTTGCCATTAAGATTTAAATTGGAAATGGATTTAGGTACTTCCCCTCTCCAAAACGACTCTGTTTGTTTCTGATTTGAGTGGAAAATATCTTGTAATTCTTTTAAACCAACATGATCATAATTAACAGATAATGAAATTTTCCTGTTAGAGGCTTTCGCAACAACAAGAGATTGAAAATCTGAAATGAATTTTCCCAGAGCAAAGGAGTCAAAGCCAATCACATGGCAAACAAGACGAACTCTGAAGGATGATGGCGAAGAAGAGGAAGAAGAAGAGGAGATAAATCTCACTGGTCCGGATTTCTCCAAGTTGAAGGATTCCACAGAAAATGTTCGATATTCTGCATCGTTGGACGAATCCGACAATGTACGGAAATCTAGTTGATTTTCCTTACTCACAATTTGTCTTTCCAAACCTTTGCTGACCGACGTTTTGAACAGTGTCCTGGCAATAGGGTGTCTGTCTACGATCTGTCTAGCACAGAATGTGATTACATCAAGATCGACGGCCGCTCCTTTAAATATGATGTCCTTAATAAAATGTAATGGCGCCTTGTCCATGTGTTCGTACAATTCGTAAATATCATTTTCAATGAAAGATACACCACATTCTATATCAACCATATCTTCCACAACCTTTGTTTCCTGGATTGGGGATTGCTGGAATTTTTCAGATTGTATATCCATCTTTGTTTCCGTTTTTGGTAAAGCGTGCACCTTGGAAGTGGGCTTTGGTGATCTTTCCTCTGGTTCAGTTGTCTTGGTGAGATTTAAGTCGCCGACTGTATAATCATTTTCATCAGAAATTTCTTTTAAACTATCTTCGTCCTCAGTTGAAGTTGCATTCCCATCATCATCTAAATCTTCCCAGAAACTTTTTTCTATAACATGGGCTATTTTACTGATAGTAGCGCCTTCACTCAACAGGACTACCATCGGTACTCTGAATTGGGTGTCTCTATTGATTTGATCAATAATAGTCATGGCCAGCATGGAGTCTATACCAAGATCTACGACTGAACTGTCTGGTGTTACCATTGATTCGTCAACGGCAAACACTTTAGAGGCAATGATTGACATATAATCTTGGAGAATTTGTATTCTAGTGTCTTTTTCCAGGGTTTTTATCAAAGGTATATCGAGTTTCATTAATGTATCGTCCGCATTATCCATACCGTGTTTTGCGGTATTTGTAGGTAGAATCGAAAGAAATTTTGTATGAAGGTTGGACATCCCTGAATTTCCGCTACTGAAGCTGCCCAATTCCAGTTTTGTACACATCACTTGTGGATAATTGTCCAACAGGCAACTCAGCAGACATTGATGAATCTCATCTATTTCTAGAAGCTCATATCCTTGTTCTTTCAACATATTGATGACTTTCTCGGTCGATTCAGCTTCCTTTAACATACCTATGTTTAGAGGACCCCAATTAAAACTCTGTCCTGGAAGTCCCATTGAACGTCTAAAGTGCGCTAGACCATCCTCAAATGCGTTCCCAGCCCCATAGTTTGATTGTCCGTGATTACCAAGTAAACCAGCAATGGACGAGTGCATTACAAAGTAGTCCAGGTTTAGGTCTCTTGTTAATAAATGTAAATTCCAGGCTCCCCTAACTTTTGGTGACAAAGCAGTCGCAAATTTAACGTTGTCCATGCTCTCAATAAATGCATCGCTAAGAACAGCTGCTCCAAAAATAACACCTTTTATTTCGGCGCCAGGGAATCTATTGTTCACGCTTTTAAACCCATTTTCAACAGAATCATACTGAGTTACGTCAACCTGCTCTGAAACTACGCAACAAGACGACGAGCTCTCCAAATTGTCTATATTCATCAAATTTTCTTGGGAAGGTTTGCGACGATTGAAACAAACTACATTACCAGCCCCATTAGCCACCAGAAATTGTACACATTCCCATCCTAAACCAGTAAGACCACCAACTACGATATAGACTGCATCTTTTCTGAACATGTTTTCGCTAACTGCTCTTGCTGGTGGTAGCATTAAAGATCGGCTGAAGGGTATTTCTGTTACAGATAAAAGACGCATGATGTCTATGGAACGTGGGATAGCAACGCTAGAACGACGTCTTCCAAGAACACCCGATTTGAAAGATTTGCAAATGACTGAAAGTTCGTCCTTATGTGATTTTATCCATTCGTTGATTTGTGGAACTTTCTGTAGAAGCATGGCGGGACTATAAATTTCCTCGGTTCTTAATATCTGAGTAGCGACATGTGGGCGATTATGATGAACAGCAGCTATACCTAGACTATCTATTAGTGATGTCAGGGTTATGAGAGAGTGGGCGTTTGACCAATTACCAATGATATCGTGTATTATTTGTTGACTTAAGTTAACCAAGCTTAAAATGTGGCCATTTTCTATAGTTTCGATTTCGTCCAAAGATACGACCTGAACATGTGTCTTGTGATGACTCGCTAAGATCAGACACATTAACCGCATTAGAGGCTTGGTTCGACTGTTGTAAAGAAGGGTTACACCATTGGCAGAAACATTTTCCGAAAGGGACCACATAAGAATAATCTTCATCATCAACCCTGGGTGATAAATTGGAAGGAACTCGGCAGATATTATACAATCTTTTGGGACGACTATCGTTGTTCCTGCTTTCGTTGGGTAACATGAAATGTACTTTTCATTGGAGTTCGCCGAATTCAAATACCCGATAGCTTCTAAGCACAAAACTGGAAATCCACTAGAAATTGAAGCAGAATGAAGATGAGTGACATTTTCGGTACATGTGTTGTAAAGTAACGTATTTTGAATAGCTAAAGTATCAACTTTTAGTGATACTTCGGAATTGGTAGTAACATCTGGCGGATCAGAATATATCAAAAATGGATTTATGTAGTCATTTTTCGTTTCTGAAAATAGTTGAACTTCACATTTCTCGTCCATCTCAACTTCTCTATATTTATGCTCCATTCGATCTGCAATATGCAGGATTTCAAGACTGTAAACAACATTGTCTGTAATAAGAAACTCGCCGCCTTGCAGCTCCTCTCCATTTTGACATATGGAATTGATTGTATTATATAATAAGTCAGTGGTGATGTCTTCTTCTTTTCCACTAATGTCAACCAGATTAAGGCGGAATTCAGTTAATTCTCTATCAACTGTTCTCAGCATTCCCCAGAGAGCCGCCGCAGAAGGATTTCCTACTGTTGCATTGCAGTTATAGCTCAGTATCCAAGTATCTAGAGTGATGACACAAAGAGGAACATCGATCCGCTTTGCCAACATGAAGAGAACAAGTTCTCGAATCTGCATGCACTCATCTAGAATACTTTGGAATACAATCGACGTCTCTTCTGTATCAGAGCTACGTTGATGGGAGATATACACGAGAGCTTTATTATTACTCAGTTGACCAATATTCGAAAGCTGATCAGTGATGGATTCTGTCGTGTTAAGTTTAAGTACATTTAAACCAGAAAGATCCAACTTTTGAGAATTGTCTAGAATTAGCAATTCTGATAAATCTTCATTTTCTGCATCTTCGGTTGCGAGGGTATTGAATCGTTTCCAATGTATACTGTAAAGCATCTTTTTGTCTGCTGAGGCGATCCCTAGATTTTGGGTGATGAAGTTTCGAGCTTCCGCAATTACGTCGCCATCTTCTGTCAACAATATGATATCATAATGGGTAGTTGATTCCGTCTTTTTTATAATCTTTCCATACGCAACCATATTGTCCTTTGGTGATCCTTTTAAGGTCAGTCTCCCAATCTGAACTGGTAGAATTTCTGTTCCTGCTCTGTTGCTATCCCCCGTACGTGTTGTATCAATACCCAATATTCCAGGCGTTTGAAGCATCCCGTCGAGAATAGCTGGATGTATAAAAGTGCCAATTCTCTCTTGTCTGATTTCTTCGGGAAGGCTAAAATAGACTAAACATTCATAATCGTTCGACACGGCATCAGCAAGCACACGGAGTGGAGTCCCGTAAGAAAACCCTAGTTTCTTTAACTGTCCGTAAATATCTTCCTGAGAAAACTCTGAATGACATCGATCTCTGATCTCATCTATATCTACAATTGTATTTTCCTGGTTATCTGCCCAACTGATTGAACCCACCGCTAAAATTTGATTATCTCGTAAAACAGTGTAGTTAGTCTTCTCCTTCTCGCTCCTATAATCATCTTCAACACTTGTAAAAACATCCAGTTCAACACTTTTTCCTGGATGTAGTACAAGGGGGTGTTTAAAGTTAATTGACACGGCTGTTTCAGTAACTCTTCCAGATGTTAAGTGCTCGGCAATAGCTAAACCAACTTCTCCATAAAAAGCGCCGGGTATGAAAATGTTGTCCAAAACAAAATGTTCATATACTGATCCAATTCTGTTAGGGTTGATCAGGACTTTGTAGCTTTTATTTGCGCCAATAATTGGTCTTAGAAATGGATGGCCACTCGAATGCAAGTCTCCTCCCATTAAGGCAAGCTTTGATGTTTCTGGAATAATTAAGTTTGACTTTGGATTGAAATGATACTGTGGCACGTCCGTTACATTTCCTCTTTCAGCAAGAACATTATCCCAATTTGGGTCAATTCCGTGTGCATAAAGCTGAGCCAAATTTTGCATCATACAATTTGTTTCCATACCCTTTTTCATTGATATTAACACGCATGCTTGGTTCAAATCGAAATTGTCTTCCGAATGAGCAATCAGTACAGGCTTTGATCCAATTTCTAGAAAAATATTGAAACAGTCCGGTTTTTGAGCATCTTGAAGAGCTTGTCGGAATAATACAGGTTCTCTAACGTTTTTTGCCCAATATTCTGCTGTTATGAAATCTGATTCTGTACCTTCTTTGGCTGATACTGTTGAATACAGTTTGACATCAGGTTTTGAACCTTGTAATCCTGATAGATCATCCTTTATCTGGTTGGAACACTCTGCCATATGATGACTGTGGAAAGCACTGGTTACCGTCAAATCGTGCAGAAACAACGGGATTTCTAAATCTTCTTTTGCTGATTGGATTCTCGATTTGACTATTTCGATAACGTCAGTGTCCCCACTTAGGGTGCAAGATTTAGGACTATTGTGTACAGCAATAACTACTTTTCCTTGGTAATCATCAACTATTTTCTGAACCTCGCTCACATCATAATTACCAACAACTAGCATAGAACCTCCTGTGGCATTGGCTTGTCGATATGTTCGATGATAAATAACTTTCACTGCATCCTCTAGATCCAGTGCCCCTGCTGAATGTGATGCTGCTACTTCGCCAACTGACTGACCAACTACGCAGTCTGGTTTTATTCCCCAGTATTTCCACACAGCATCAAGAGCTACCTGACATGTAAACGATGCAATTGGGCCGAAATATGGATCTGTTGGATCAAAACTATCTTCAAATCTTTGACAAATCGACCAACTTGTCAGTGGTAACAATAAAGCATCTATTTCCAGTATTTTCTTATAAAAAACGTGGTTGGTTTTCATGAGTTCCTTGCACATGCCCGTCCATGTACTTCCCATTCCACAAAATACAAAAATGGTGTGCTTTTGTTTCTGTAGAGCTTTAACCGGAACCTTGTCAATTGTGGTTTTGCTTTCTAATTGATCTACAGCGTCATCCATTGATTTGACGACTTTAGCAACTCTTACTGGATAGTGATCCCTTCTTACAGTTGAGGTGAAGGCCACATCATCTATAGAATAAGCTTGTGTTTTAGCTTTCTCACAAAAATGTTGAATACTGCCCTTAACTGATATTTCGTCTACTCCAGAGAAGCATATAAGTCGTAGTTTGTCAGGATCGATGGCTTTAACTGCTTTGACTGTATTATACGATTTTATGATTGCATGACAATTTGTTCCACCGAAACTAAATGAATTAACGCATGATAATTTGGTTCCGTCGTAATTGTATGTCGGCCATGTGTCGGTACGTGTTGCTACTATAAGCTTTAGTTTATCAAAGTCAATCTTTTCATTTGGTGTATCGAAATGAAGGGTTGGGACGATAAGTGAGTGTTTCTGCATCAGAAGAACTTTAATTACACCTGCTACCCCCGCAGCTGACTCCAAATGGCCAATGTTAGTTTTAACTGAGCCAATATAACGTGGAGCATTTTTGGTATGATCTGCGAGAAATCCACCCAAGCAGTTCGCCTCCACGGGATCGCCAGCCTGTGTACCAGTTCCTATTAAAATTGAAATATGCAGATCATAATATATATACATGCAGTCAGTATTTACAAATCAAGTAACTTGAATGGAAAATACTTTCTTCGTTATGTTAATAGTTTATTCCAATTTTAACAGCTTTTAAATAACGTTGTGGCATCAGGGTATTTACTGTTAGTTTACATGTAGTATATTTTAGCTATGTGTTCAATGTGTTGGTCAACTATTTAGACTAAAGAGCGTTAAAATAAACGAAAATGGGCATAAAAGTGCATATTAATTTGAGTGAATAATCTTTTTATTTTAAATTCTAATTTCTAGTGAAATTATGTCCATAGATTACATGAAGCTGTGTTCTGATTTTAAAATGTGTTCACCGTTAACTCCTAGTTAACCTTTTGCCTATCATATCTATAGTATTTTTTGTCAAACTATCGGCGATGAAATTATATCATTGTCAATTTATTATTCATATTATCGTGGCATGTCATTAAACCAATTGTATATGTTAACGATATATATTAATTCAATATATGGTATGCACAGTTAACCTGTTGTATACTTTAGAATTATAGCCTCACTAATTTTCTCTTTACTTTCTGGTGGTGTTCCTAGTTTGTATAAATATTTTGTTATATTGTTGTGTTGTCATTATGCTACATACCGTGGGCTTCTATGTATTCCAGTCGATCAGGATCAATATTATATTTGCTATAAACCTTTTTCAATAATTGGAATTGTTGACTTCCAGAAGGGGCTGTCATGGGCGTCACAGTGTGGCCATCCTGGTTCGACCCTGTCATAATGGTCCCCCATATTGGATCGTTATCACGTTCTGCCTGAATTTCATAAAGGTTAAATAGTTAGTAATGAAACAAACCATGGAAATCGCAAAATTATATTAACGTTTTGAAATAGGTAAACCTAGAGTCATAGTTTCTAATATTGTTTACAAAATGTGAAAACAAACTATACCGTAGTCAAATGTACTCACGTCCTTCAGTCGTTTTAAAAGGATTATCCCTGCACCTTCACCTCTTGCATAACCATCAGCTTTAGAGGAAAAAGCCTGACAATATCCAGTAGGGGAGGCCATCCTGGCTTTACTGAGTTGAACAAATATACTAGGAGACATCAATGAGTTAACTCCCCCTGCTAAGGCCATGTCACAATCACCTATTAATGATAATGGAAACTATGCTACAGCTAGCTAACAGTACGGAAGTTCAAATACGAACTACTTTTTGTTTTTCGATTTCCTATTTCTATTTTTAATTTTTTATTGTTAAAAAATAATTTCTAATTTCTATTTTTAATTTTGGATTTTGTAGAATCAGTTTTAATATTGTAAATTAATTTTTAATTTTGTAAATTAATTTTTAATTTTGTAAATTAATTTTTAATTTTGTAAATTAATTTTTAATTTTGTAAATTAATTTTTAATTTTGTAAATTAATTTTTAATTTTGTAAATTAATTTTTAATTTTGTAAATTAATTTTGAAAAAAAATAATTTCGAATTTCTATTTTTAATTTTCGATTTTGTACAATAATTTTCAATTTTGTAAATTAATTTTTAATTTTGTAAATTAATTTTTAATTTTGTAAATTAATTTTTAATTTTGTAAATTAATTTTTAATTTTGTAAATTAATTTTTAATTTTGTAAATTAATTTTTAATTTTGTAAATTAATTTTTAATTTTGTAAATTAATTTTTAATTTTGTAAATTAATTTTTAATTGTGTAAATTAATTTTTAATTTTGTAAATTAATTTTTAATTTGGTAAATTAATTTTGTAAATTAATTTTTAATTTTGTAAATTAATTTTTAATTTTGTAAATTAATTTTTAATTTTGTAAATTAATTTTTAATTGTGTAAATTAATTTTTAATTTTGTAAATTAATTTTTAATTTGGTAAATTAATTTTTAATTTGGTAAATTAATTTTTAATTTTGTAAATTAATTTTTAATTTTGTAAATTAATTTTTAATTTTGTAAATTAATTTTTAATTTGGTAAATTAATTTTTAATTTGGTAAATTAATTTTTAATTTTGTAAATTAATTTTTAATTTTGTAAATTAATTTTTAATTTTGTAAATTAATTTTTAATTTTGTAAATTAATTTTTAATTTTGTAAATTAATTTTTAATTTTAAACTTTTATTTAAAATTGAAAATTATTGTACAAAATTGAAAATTATTGTACAAAATTGAAAATTATTGTACAAAATCGAAAATTAAAAATAGAAATTCGAAATTATTTTTTTCAAAATTAAAAATTGATAATAAAAATAGGAAAAAAATTAAACAAAAATAGTTCGTATTTGAGCTTCCGTATAACAGCATATTTAAAAAAAACTTGTCTATTTGATTTCGTATTTTGTAAACCGGCTAGGACGTTTCTACTTCAATTTAGGGGCTTGTGAACATTTAAATGTATTGAAATACATGGGCAGACAACACTCGTGATTAGAATCAAAGAATCAAAATGTTGAACACCGAAAAAAAAGTTAACGATCGTGCATAGCTGGTGAAGAAATACGTTGTAACCATATGTAGGTTCTGGTTGTGGCTATAGTAAACATCGGACAGGAGTGGGTGTGTGTGTGTGCCAATTCGTTTCTAGTCACGATTATCATAACGACAAGAGAACAATTGCCGAAACTTTGTAATATGGCTGTACAAACCTGTGTAGAAACTGTGTTTTTTATTTCATATTCGTGAGGGATATAATAATTTCTAGTCGTATTCAGAACCAACTTTACCTTCTCTTAGAGCTTGAGCAGCAAGATGAATAGCTAATAAAGATGATGAACAAGCTGTATCTAAAGCCATAGCAGGCCCAAGAAGGTTGAAGGTGAACGATATGCGTGCAGCTACAATACTGGTAGAGGTTCCAGTTAAGGAATAATTATTCATATTTTCACTGTCAGTTGATTGGAGATTTTTATAATCACTATTCATTACACCTTAAATAAAAAATAGGCATAGGTTATAAAGTAGTGAAAGGTCTCGAGCAATGAAAACACGACAATGATTTGAATGGAAGAGCTTGAGACCTTTACCGACAACACACGGAGGCCTTAACAACTTCGCTTTACTGTGGCAATTATACACAGTGTGTGTGTGTGAACCTCTACTGGTCCCAAATGCGATATAATGTCGCGGCCTGAAGGAAAAGTGCCCTTTAATGGCTATTTAAGGGACTATTCTGATTACATGCCCCATACAGTTGACGTAGAGTATGCATAGGGGATCTGGGGGCAGGACGTCCATTATAGTCCCACAGAAGCCCGATTGGTAAATGATCAAGATGTAGGGTTTGCATTCATGCACAGCCACATTGCTGTGGTTCAAGAAGCCCATCATGCAAATCTTGGTGCTGTATGAAAGGGTTCACTTCCACTTTGACTACATCCCATTTCGACTACATCCCATTTCGACTACACCCCATTTCGACTCCCATTTTGACTACATCCAATTTCGACTTCATTGACTACATCCCATTTCGACTACATCCCATTTCGACTACACATTTTATTGTCTCAAAAATCCGAACCCCCAACTACTCAGCATTGAACTGTTCCACAGATTAAGAGATGTTACTAATGTAATGATTATTGTTAACATAACTTATTCATTGTATATAGTATAATAACCACAATTAAGTAGATTTTTCATGATCGAAGAAATCTGTTTAAAAATTAGTACGGTTCAGAGAGTAATATTTTTTGTCTTTAATCTATATGAATTAATTACCTTTTAATTATTTTTTTATCTATATAAATTACTTTATAATATTTATTTGTTTTTTGTTCTATTTTTGTTTGTTTTTTGTTTTGTCTAAAATTATTTTTTTTTTATTTTGGGTTTTTTGGTTTCTATCTATATTATGTAAATTTATTTTTTATTATTTTTGATATGTCCACATTTTCATGTTGACGTATTATGCCGTCGCCCCTGTTTGTCCGGACGTCCGTCAACAATTTGTTTGTGGACACTCTACAGGTCATAATTTTTATCAGATTTTGACAAACCTTGAAATATAGGTCTATCTCCCAAAGATCTCGGTTCCTTTCCATATTGGCATGTATCGGAGCATAACTTTATGGATTATTGCCCCTGGTTGTTCGAAAAATCACGCTTTTGGCTTGTAGACACACTAGAGGTCCTTATTTTCATCCGATTTTAATGAAACTTGGCATGTATGTTTATAACCCAAAGATGTTCGTTCCTGTCGATATTTGCGCATATCGGGTGATAACTTCCTGAATTATGGTCCCTGATTGTATGAAAAATCGCGTTTTTAGCTTGTGGTCCTTCTAGGGGTCACAATTATTATCCGATTTAAAAACCGTTTAAATATATCACCGTTACACCGTAATGCTGGTTGAGTTCGAATTTCGGGAAAATCGGACAAAAATTGCCGGACAAAATGGCACGCTAATAGTGTAAAAATATGGTATATCAAGGTTGTGGATCCTCTAGAGGTCACAATTTTCATCTGATATTGATGAAACTTGAAATATTTGTTTAAAACCAAAAGATCTTGGTTTCTGTCGATATTCGGGCATATCGGATCGTCACTTCCTGAATTGTGTCCCTTGATTTTATGAAAAATCGCATTTTAAGCTTGTAATCCCTCTAGAGGTAACATATTTTATCCGATTTTGATAATAATTGAAATGTATGTTCATAACTCAAGGATCTCGGTCTCTTTCGATATTCGTGTATATCAGACCATATCTTCCTGGATTATGGCCCCTGATTGTATAAAAAATCACATTTTTTTTTAGCTCGGTCTCTGTCCATCTCTTGTAAAATGTGGGCGTATCTTGCGTGGCAACCGCTTGTCTCTATCTATATAAATTACTTTTTATTTATTTTATACGCTGTAGTCGAAAGGTGATATTTTTATGGAAGAATCTATTTTAGCTATATAGGAAGCATATTATATAAGTAGGGATAACAAAACCATCAGACCATATAGTCTGTTATAAGCTGTCCTTTTGGTGGTAGTAAATGCCTTCTCAATATTTATGTATATCTGCCGAATTCATTTTTATACAGTTTGAGCGTATTATCCGTCACCAATTGGCTTGTGAAAGCGATAGCAGCTACAGCTTTTGACGATTTTTGTTAAAATTTGGTGTGAAGCATCGTGACCACGAGAGCTCAAACCCAATAGATATTCAGCAATCCGCAACTTTCCGTTCCAGAGTTACCACCTTTTGCCGAAAACCCTGTGAACGCTATAGATGAAATCCGTTATATATAACGTGTTTTTCTTTTTAGAAATATGGTGTAAAGCAACGGGGTTATGAAGGGAAGAACCTGAACGACATTCCCTCGTCCTGTGTCTTTATTACTCTTGTGAACGCAATAAAGTTACAGCTTGTGTCGGTTTATTTTTTCAAATATGGTGTGAAGTACTGGAGCTGTGGGAGGATATTAAACTCTATTTGTATTCAGCACTCCGCGACTTTGCGGTCCGGAGTTATCCCCGTCACAGTTGTAACGGATTATTTTTTAAAATTAGTTGATGAGCCTTTGTGTCACGAGTAGTACGGATCCTCTCGATATTCAGTATTTCATAGTTACACTATCCTTTTCCGAAAGCTTTGTCAACATCATAGAGGCTAAAGTTTTAAGTGGATTTGTTTTAAATCAAGTGCCCTTTTCTGAAAACCACGTGAATGTGATCGAGGCTACATTTTTTAACAATTTCTTTCAAGCTTGTGGACCCGATAGAGATCATATTTCTTGAAAGCATCCTTATCAAACCTGGTAAACATCCAAGTTTTTCTTAAGATAAGCTGCTTTAGAGACATAGCCAATGTGTGGGCGTATTGCAATGGTTTCTGTGGCTACCTTAATACATTTCTGAGAATAGATATGTGGTGCTTTTAAACGATTGTGAAAACACCACCCCGTGTGGCACCGTCGTCATTTGAGACTGTTACATTCAATATTAAAGTGTATCCCTCATACGAAATTTACCGTCATTCATTTATAAACATGCTGCGTTTTTTATTGCATTGCCGAGTAAGTTAATAAAATGGAATTTAAATTTCAAAAAGTACGTTCGACTAACCTATATAGACCCCTGTATTAGAACCATGCATAGTCTCTCTTGTTACTCCGGCATTTTCCATGGCTTTAAAACAACAGTCTAATACAAATCTCTGTTGAGGATCCATTTGACTTGCTTCAAAATCATTTACACCGTAGACTTTATTATCCCAGGAATCATGACTAAAAAGAAATGGGATTGTTTTCTTGTTAGATTTTCTCGAAAAATATTACCCATCGTCAACACATAAATAGTGTTGAATATGTTTTATTTATTTGTATGCTTGCTTATGATTATTAGCTTTGGACAATCTTGGAATCCGTAGAAAAACCTTAAATAACCTCAATGCTTTTTGTCATCTCAATGTCGCGCAATGCGTCGTGACAAGGCGTGCCATTTGGCATGATGTTGTGTTTACGCCCTGTTCGCGCATTCAACACTCATAAGGGGCGACTGTTTACGCAAGTGGCACGCACGTGACGCGAACATTCATGCGTGCCGAATTTCTGAAAATTTCAAAATTCTGTCAACGACCTGGCAGGCACGCCCGCATCCGTCGCACATTCCTCGCGCTCATTCCCAAAGACTTTAACCATTGACAGATGCGGGAACGAAAATCGTGTAAGTATCAGGGTGGCATGATTCAATAGTGTGTATTGGAATAGTCATCTTCAGCATCCCCATTGATATCGTCCCGATCTACTCCACCATAGTCTGGGTTCAATCGCTGGGGATTCACGAATTCAAACTATCTTCCCTTGATCGTAGATTGATTAACGTCATTGCTAACGTTCATCACAATAATCTTTTTTTTTATCGTGCAATAGTACAGCAAGCATCTTGGGAGCCCTCGTATGCTGCAAGGATGTCATCCAGTGAAGGTGTAATTAAGTCTTCTGGGGCAGTCATGTTCCCGTGGTCGCCTGCTTTTGCCTGGCATCGTGGAGATGTTGCAGGTAATTCGTCGTTATTCGTGGTAGATGTTATAACTTGGGTTGTTATGTAGGGACCAGATCAGTGTCGCAGCTTTCGCTTTCTTATATAGCCGAAACACCGTAGCCGATCCGTAATGGATTTGGGATAGTTCGTAGACGATTCAGCCAATCGTAAACGATTCGAGACAATTCGGGACGCTTTCGCCAGATTCGGGAACGCATTAGACTTATTCGTAGTTGTTTCATAGTTCATTTGTTGTTGAATCGATTGGCCACAACTGCGTTCGTTGCGCGCGTGAGATTTTGAATTCGCGATGGATTTGTGTGATTGGTTCGGCACATTTGGCAACGATTCTCGGCAAATTTGGGTCATTCCTGCCTGTTCGGGGTGGTTTGGCGTCGTCCTCCGACATTTAGTGAGCCCGAATGACTACGAATTTCAAAGAATGGAATAGGAAGTTGTTGCGGGCGATAACAAAAGGCTACGACGGGTTTACGATACATCAACGATACATTGGCAAATAAAAACTTTCGCGGCCGAGCTACGTACAATAGGAATGTGTAAAGACACCTTGCCACTTGCACGATTTTCGTTCCCACAACGGCGCGCACTTCGGCTTGTCAATGATTAAAGTCAATGATTAAAGTGGGCGTCCGTACGTGCCATGCCGTAGAGAGAATTTTGAAATTTTCAAAATGTCCGTGCCATGTGCGTGCTTGAACACTGTGCGAACTCGACGCCTTTGATCCAGTGACTTCGTGACATTTTGATTATTATTTTAAATCTTTGATTTGGTGTTGTGTTCTTTATTTATGTTTTTCATTTGAAGCCCTAGATTCATAAATGTGCTATAGATCGAGTTGTGATCAGGTTCAATTCTTTTTAGCTCTTATAATTAATTATGATATCCTTTACTTTATCTTATAGCAATAAATAGGAATAAATAATCTTACTT